CGAGGATGACACCAGCCCGCGGCGGGACGCGGCACTCTCTCCCGTAAGCAGCGGCAGCTTCAGGAGGTTTCAGTGACCCCGACTGCCCTCCGCGTGAGGGATTCACGGCGCTCGCCCCTCCAGCCTGTGGGGGACGCATCTGGCAAGAGGCAGCCTGCGCTACTATTTGGCAACAATTCAGCGGACACCAGGGGACACGATGGCCACGTGCGCTGTGGCGGGAAGTCCCCTAACACTGGAAGAGAGGCAGAGCTTACCGGTGCTGGCGAGACACCTTCGCACCAACCCCATCGCTACCGTCCCCCTGGAACCCACGTGCAACGGCGACAGTGCGATCCGGTCGGTCCTCAGGAAGGGCAGCACGGTGCGTGCCCGTCATGGCGATGCCCGCTGGGGTCGCCGCTCGGCTTCCCTGAGGTCGTCGCTGGTCCCCACGGCCCGGCTGGCTCGGCACGGATCACGGAGGGGTCTCGTGGACATCGGGGCCGCGGCTCACGACCTTCGCCTCCCTCCCAGGGGGGAGCCGGGCCTCTGAACGCTGAGGTACGTCTGCGCCCTTCTGTTCTCCACGGATCCCCCGAAACAAGTTTTCAGCACTGGGGTCAGCACGCGAGAAACAAAACTGGTTCTCCTCTTTGCGGACACCTCAGCAGAGGCGCAGCCTTCCGTTTTCACTTCTTGAAAGGGGTGAGTTTGTTGAACGTGTGCCAGAAGAGCGAGGGCTTCCTCTTGGGTTCTGCCAGGGCAAACACCTGCTGCTGGGGGACGCTGGTGGGCACGGTCACGTGGCGCTGGTGAAGGGGGTGCAAGCTCTGGTGCGGCAGGGCCACCGGGCACGCGCTGTAGCCTAACCCGAGGGGGGGGGGGGGGGGGACGGAACAGGGACCCAGCGTCACTCGTCAGCCGAAAAGGAAAAACAGCACCAACACTCGAATCCTCAGCTGATTCTTAATCCACATGCACCCGGAGGACATCTAAGAGCCATCACGACGCTGCTTATGTGCAGACACTGCGTGCGCGGCCACGGATTAGGTGGCGTCACAAAAACCCTCCGGGGAGGGGACCTGAAACCCAGAGAGGTTGTGACCGTCACCTGCGCTCACGCAGCGGGAGTGGCGGGAGTGGCAGGATCAGGGCTGCTCGCGATGAGAAGCAGTGAAATGCTCCGAGAGCCTGCGGCCCAGCCTGCCCTGGCCCAAATCCTACTCTGCCGCTTACTGGCTGTGATTATTCAGGATAATTATTTGGGAAATTATTTGATTTCTCTGCACCCCCACTCCCTAAATCTGTAGTGGGGATAACAGCACCTCCTGGTTGCTATGACAGCTAAGTGAGCTAATATAAGGAATGTGCTTAGAACAGGGACCCCGAACTGAATTGCTAAATCGAAAGTGTCTTAGTGGGATAGGGGTTTTCAATCTGCGCAGAGGTAATGAAAAAGGCTTATTAAAATTAGCTACGAGATCACAAGCTAACTGTGAAAGTCTGCGTGGCAGGAGGAAATAGCGTGGGTTCCCGAAGGAGCCAGGACTCAGGGCAGAAGGCATCCTTGCCCTGGTCTGGACTGGCAGGAGGCTCTCTCGGCCTTCCCACATAAGAGGTGCCTTCCTTTCGGGGGGTGCCCGGGTGCCCAGCTGCTGAGCCAGCGCTCCTGAAAGACAGCAACTAACAGATTCTAACAGGTGATATTTACTAGTCACCTGCCACTCAAGTGAAGAGGCTCACAAACAATAGGTGTTTCTGCCTTCAAGGTATTTAAGTCAGTGGGAGGTGGGGGGGGGGGGGGGGGGGGGGCGTGTGTGTCTGCATTTGAGGGGAGGGAGCAGCAGGGCAATGGCAAGGTTAAGTGCTGTTTTGGTAATGAAATCTTCCAGTCCCCTGGCCCGTCCTGGGCTCAACTGGGTCTTGTTTTCCCGTTTTCAGTTACAAACATACTGAATGGGACACAAGTCAGAGGACACATCGTTCTTAGAAAAGTTGACCTGAATAAAAGTTTCTAAGAACATGACAAATATTTTTGGAATAAAAATCCTTATTATTTCATTCCTGTTGGATGAGATCATGTGTATCACACGCACTGTAAAAATAAATCTTTGTTTGCACATCGGGACCCCCGGGCGTGACCTGAGCACGGCTAATTTCACAGCACGTGCAGGGCAGGGGGGCTCTGCTCGAAACAGGCTGGTGTGCCTTCCTAACTCATCTCTTCACATCCTGCACTTTTAGGCCCGTTTTTCTTCTCTAAACTCGAATGCAGCCTGCACTGACGAGCAGTTTGGGGCCGGAGACTGCCTCCGGCCGTGCCCAGACCACGCAGGAGCTGTTGGTTTGCCTCAGACTGGCAAACTGGCCGGGCCTGGGGAAGAATGCCGGCACCTCCTCAGGACAGAGGTCTAGAAGCTCTTGGTACCGATTCAGAACACATCTTACAGGCTCATATTCAAATGTAGGCAAATACTGAAACACACTCACACTCAGAAGCAAATGCAGGTTGACAGACCCGTACCATCACCTGTACGCCTCCCCCTCACTGAAGGCTGGTCGTCAGCGGGCTGACCACCGCGGCGCTCGCCTTGATCTGAGTTCCGATACCGATTCCCACGAAGGAGATGGGGAGACGAAGCGTCCTTCAAAACTTACCCTTTGACTTCCCATGTCCTGCCTTTTGAGCATTTAGCATGGCGAGTTTCTTTTGATTTTCTGAAATTTCCATTCCTGGATTTAGAAACAGACATGATACACATTCAAAACAAGTAAAACCACTGCAGAGTAAAACCAGAACCATAACCTGGAGCAAAAAAACCTCATTCCTTGAGGAACCAAGGGACACTGAAAAGCTTACAAATGGAGAAGTAGCAAGGACTGTCCCCAGGACGGACACTCGGATAACCTGCTCCCTACAAGGACATGTTAAAGGGTGACACGGGGTGCTGTTAATAACGACACACAGACCACTTGCGCAGACCCAGACGCACGTCCACGAAGGGTCACCCAAATCACAACCATAAAGGGTGAGGCCCTAGGAGGAGAGGGCAAATCGAAGGAGTCCCAGGGTCGACTCTCCCACCTGCTGTGAAAGCCGAGTGAGCGATTCCACCTTGAACATCTGCGTAATGGGAACTGGATTTTGTACCCCAACTGTCGAGAGCACGTGCCTTGAACTTCCCCTGTAAAGTTTGCTGTCTGCACGGAGTGGGTGAGGTGGGGGAGGAACAGCAGGCCCCTGCACGCAGGACGTGGAGGGAGAGCAAAGGCCAGAGACGGAGGAGGGCCAAGTCTGTCAGGCTGGCTCCTAGGCCGGCAAGAAAGCTTCTTCCCAGAGGCAGGCTCTACACCCAGCAGAAGGACATCAGGGCTCAGCCTCCGCCGTCACACTCAGCTCCCGGCTGCTCCCTGGGCCGTGGCTCCCTGACCGAGCTGACGTCTGACAGGTCCTGACCCCTCCCTCAGGTGCCACACACTGGCTTCTGCTGCTCCTGGACCCGCACGGGCCTTCTGCCCCACTCCAGCCCTCCATGCCCAGCCTGCGTTATGGCGGACCTCCCCGATCTCTCCACACATGAGGTGACAGGCACTGGACTAACATAACATGCCTGGCGAGGACCCGGGGCCACCCTCGTTCATTCCACATTCACCCAGTCCAGAGACTCCCAGAGTGCCCCATTCATTCATTCATTCACTCATTCATTCACGTCTTCTGAGGACCAGCCACAAGGGAAGCAGTGTACTAGAGAAAGGTATAAAATCAAGGCTCGTCTTTCTTTCTGTCAAGGGACAGAGTTGAGACATGTTTAGGATGCCCCCTGCAATACTGGTTCTACAACATTGCAGGGGAAACTGCAATATTCCAACTTACAAATGATGTCAGGGCCTACACTAGATGACCTTACAAGGCAGGTAAAATTGGGATCTTTGCAAATATTTGAGGAGTTCTCAGCATGACAGAGTGAGGAGTCTTACTCCAGTGAGACCCCAGTCAAAAGCACCGATCTATGGCAGCTGCTGGGAAGCAGCTTTCCTCTTGGTAAAAGGGGGACGTGCACTTAGCGGAAGGGGTCCCCTATGAGCAATGAGTGCTACAGGTGTCACTAGGGGTTGAGGTTCAGTGTTTCAGAGGAGATTCCTGCTTGATGGTGAGCGAGCCAGACTGACTCCTAAACCCCTTCCTGCCGTAACACAGGATCCCACAGACCCTCCTGTGGGTGAGATTCAGATCCGTGGCGAAGCCTAGGATCGGTACAACACGGATCCGTAGAACACGGACAGGGCGGGGGTAGGCCCAGGTTTCCACTCTAGCTTTCGTCGCGGCAGTGGGTGGCTTTTCTGTCCTGCACTACGTAACCTTTACGGTCTGGGCTTACGTGGGCTGCAGAGATGAATATCCTCATTCCACCTCACCTTTAAGGCCCCCGGTCCCTGTGGCATCCTGACATCTGTCCGACAGTTGGTGCTCAAAACCCTAATGTGCTCGGAAGGCCCTGCACCTTGGGCTTACAGACCGGGCCTGACAGTTTCCGGCTTTTAGGGCTAATCAGTACCTGGAGGCGAGCAGACCCTGGGACGGTAAGGGCGACAGGAGGAACCAGTGCCTGAACCGTAGGACAGGGTGCACGGTCCTCAGCTTCATGCACGAAAGAGATGGGGAAACAGGTGGGCCAAGGTCTTGGGTCTGAATGGACTAGGGCAGCAAGGTAAATTTAAAGTGCTTTAAAGGTACACCTGAAGAGGCGGCCTCGAGGATCATCCGGTATTTCTCATGGCCTGGATGACAGTCACCAGAGTGTGGCCCAGTCTCGGGGTGACACCGAGCTGGCTTTAAATGCTAAGTGGTCACGCTAGAAGAGTGGGCAAGTGCCTTGAGCCTCAATTTCCTCACCTATAGTAATGGGTATAGCAACAGTATCCACATCTTGGGATTAAACGGCACAACCTCCGTACGTGTGTTAATCGACTA